TACAGCGCAGATAACTATCGCGACGCGTCGAACGTTCCGCCAGCGTTCACATTGCACCGCCGCGGCCGCTGGCCCGCTGCACCAGCATGGCGGAATGGCATCCCAGGATTCCTAGGCTTGACGTCAGTGCAAGCTATGTATTGCAGAGCAAGCAAGCGCTGAACAGAGGCTCTACATTATTACATCACCTGTTCATGCTTTTATTTTGCTGTGACTTATTGATGCAGTTACGGATTGGACAAGCAACCTTTTTATAGACCGATCAAATCATTTGCGGCTTCCGGAAAATAATGTTCTCATCACCGCTGCTCTGCTACGAACCGATGAGTGTGACGAATCGTTTTTGATGTTTAACTTTCTCTGCACTGAAACGCGAGAAATTGTTTTCGCTTTAGTCTCTGATAAACCGGGTCAGCCTTAAACAATTGCTTTAACTTGGAAGATTGAGCTATATTTTTTCTTCCTACATGCTTGATAATGTTCTCTAAAGGGCTTCACCATATATTTCACGATGATGGCGCAGAGTTCTTCAAAGCACTGGGGTTTACGGGCAGGGAGGGCAAAAAGCGGGAAGAATGAACTAGAAGGAGGTTATCTGATTGGTGGCTAAAGTCAAGGCAAGAGTGAAAATAAGCCCTTCACTGCAAAGTAACAGTCCTCAACTTCACTATTTACAGAAAAAAAAGATAAATAAAGTTTTTGGTTGACTAATTATTACGGCTAGGTAGCGTTAGCCACTGCCTGATCTAAAGGGTACAGCCTCATATGCCATCCATCCATCCATGCGCGCGCAATCACACTAAAAAAAAGCTGCGCATTTGAAGAAAAAAAAAAGTGCTCAAGATCGGACGGATTCATAAAATTTTTGCGGCGTTGAAATCGCGAGGCAATAAGCTCTTCCAATGAATTCGTTCAATCGTTGCTTGAAAAAAAACCCCACGTAACTATTGCAGCGCGTCAGCACGTGGCTTTTCTATGCGGCGCTAGAGAGCGCACGTGAACGGATGGATTAACATGCCTGTATTTTTTACATCGGGAGGCGTCTAACGCCACCAAGCCATAATTCTTATACTGCAAACAAAAACTAGATTTATCTTTTTTTTTAAATAGCGAAATTAAGGACTGGTAAGTACTTTGCAGTGAAGGATTCAATTTTCACTCGTGCCTTGTTTTTAGCCACCAATCAGATAACCTCCCTCTAGTTATTTCTACTCGCTTAAAGTTTATTCTGCCCTCCATGGCCCTAAACCACAGTGCTTTTAAAAACTGCGCCAGCCCTTTACTGAACATTATGAAGTGTTCGGCCACGGAGTTCCTCAGTGTGTTCGGCATTTTCTCCTCTCCACACGCACTGCGTACCGTGTCCACCCCTTCGTATTTGGCCCGATACGTCTTGGTTCGCAACACTCCCGTCCTTGCCCCAAACAGCAAAGATCTCTAGCGCGGACTTCTAAATCATGTCTATTCTCCACATGTCGGTCTCAGTTTCCTTCACCTTTTTTTTAACCGATATATAGTTCTTTTTGATTTGGCTTCCTGCTGTTTTCTAAGAGTTTACCCGCCAATTTTCTGGTTCGCTTCCTTCATTTTGTATCGACATTCTTCATGTACAAATACCTCAAAACCTTCCTAGCCAAACGCTTCTCCATCATTTCTCTCAATCGCTCCTCAAATTTTATTTTGCTGCTAGATTCCCTGCCCTCAAATGATGTGCATCGCATATCACCTTGTGCTCCCCGATTTGGTGCATTTCCGTGAGCTCCTAAAGCAAGCCTACCTATTCCACGTTGCTTAATTTCTAATCTTGCTTGAACCTCTGATATCATGCAAAAGACTACATTGCGAACGTCAAACAAGGAACCATAACCCCTTTCCAGATTCCTCTCACAACATCATACCTATTGTAATTCCGCGGTGCCCTATTTTTCATTACCGATGCCTTCCTGTTACCTTTAGTCGTTACGTATATTTCGTGCTCCCTTAGGCACTCGGTCCCATTGCTTATCCATATGCCCAGATATTTTGTATTTATCTGTTATCTCTAGCGTGATCGACCTCCTGCATCCTAAGCTTACTACCTTCATTATCATTAATAATCATAACTGCCGATTTTTTCATGCCAAATCTCAAATCTAACCTATCTCCCTAATTACCGCAGATGTCTATCAATCTCTGCAAATCTTTCTTGTTGTCGGCCATTAGCACTACATCATCTGCGTACATTAACGCTGGTAGTGCCTGATCAATAAGTTTTCCTTGTTTGACTACTATAGAGAGGTTGAAGCCCAGTCCACTTCCCTCTAATTTGGCCTCTAATCCTTGTAGGTACATCATGAATAATAAGGGTGACAGGGGACACCCCCGCTTAAGCCCCCGTTTTACCTCTGCAGGCTTGGATACCTGTTTTTCTCACTTCATAACTGCCTTGTTACCTTTATAGATATCCTTTAAAAGATTAGTGACTCCATCTTCTGCACCCAGTGTGTCCAGTATTCCCCACAATTCCTCTTGAACCACGCTATCGTACGCTACCTTGATATCCAAAAATGCTAGCCACAGGGGCCTGTGTTCCTTTTCTGCTATTTCGATGCACTGCGTCAGTGAGAACACATTGTCTTCCAACCTCCTGCGTTTCCGAAACCCATACTGCAGTTCCCCCAGCACCCCCTCATCCTCTATCCATGCCTGCAGTCTTTCCTTTATAATCTGCATCGCCAGCCTGTAGACCACTGATGTCACTGTTATAGGATGGTAGTTCTTTATGTCAGCTTTGTCCCCCTTTCCTTTATAGATCATGCTCATCCTGCTAAGTTTCCATCCATAAGGGACCTCACCATCCATTATAGTTTTGCTCGCTGCCTCTCCCAAAGTCTGCTTAGACTTTGGACCCAATTCCTTTATCACCATAACTGGGACGCAGTCAGGGCCTCTTGATGTACTACTAGGAACCCTATTCTCAGCCCTTTCCCACTCTTGTTGTGAAAATGGAGGCAATGCGTCACTTGATCAATCCTTGTCTATTAAGGTACTTAAGGCACTTTTTTGTAGAAATTCGATTGTTGAAATTGAAATCGCAAAGCCAAGCACTCTCTTCATTGGAAGAGGCGCGGCACCGCACCAAAATACACGCGCTGCTTAAGAGTGTTGTTTGCTTCCTGCCACAGCACGAAGGAACAAACGTGGCAGAGTTATGACATTGGAGAGGGAAACATGTCCGCGCAAGAAGCAGCGCTCTTTCCTACCCATGTTTCCGTAGTTACGCTGTCGTTTTCTTGCGGTGTGCAATATGTTGATTCTAAATCACCAACTAGCCCAAGCATCCGTCTCATCGAATCGCAGTGGGAAAGCGCTCGGACACACGTGTGACGCAAGCAGCCTTACCCATATTGTGTGGTCGCATTCCGACGACACCTTCAGCGGACGGCTCCCGTTGAGAAGCATGCGTTTGCACTGGCAGAAATAAAAGGAGGGGTTGGTTTATAAATTAACACCCTGTATAAGTGTATAGCGCACATTTCTTGTAAATTTTATGGGCAAATTTTTTTGCTTCGTAAAAATGGTTTAATTTCTGAACTCAAGTTGAAAACACTCCTGCACGGGCCTGAAAGGAACCTGCAGTATCGAAAAATAATCTTAGAAGCGTAGCATAGGGGTAGGCGAGGGTGAGAAGAAAGATTAAGCATATACAGTTTAGCGAGGAGGTGGAAAGGAAGAGCATAGCCATGAGTACAATACAATTAACAAAGGGTGTGAAGCAGTAATGTGAAGGCGAGGAAAATCGAAAAGTGAGGATTCCTTTCTGACCATAGACGCCAAGCTGGCTGCACTTTTGCAGTGCATGCTTGCGCATGAACATGAGCGTCTCCGCTGCTCGGCACTTCCAACAGCTTTCATGTGCAACTGCAAACATTTTTTCAGCAAGCCAGTTTTGAAAACTTTTGTTGTAATTAAAACAGCTGCAATGTACTGACTGCTAAATCATTCTTTTGTTTGTGCTGTAAACTTTTTTTTTTTTTACAATGCTGCAGAATGAGAGCTCTCTTAAAAAGAAACACAACTTTTAAAAAGTGCGCTTTTTTCCAGACCTGAAGAGAATAAAGTTTAAGCATCACTAACACAACAATAATTTGTTTAAAGGACCCTTACCTGCGGAAATAATGTGATGATTTCGTGGGATCTGTTAACAAATTAGTATATACACTTTCACAAACAAAAAATGAATTGCATTATGTGATGCAAACTGATCGCTGTAAATTTTGCAGCTCTTTCCCTAATAAGAAGTTTTTTTTCTTCTGGTCAATGTTTGTTAATAGAATGAGACTGTAATGAAAGTCTGACCAACTTCGTTTTGCCGCAGCCACACAATGACATTATGTCTGTCACATTTGAATGCTGTAATAAAGGCGATTCATCTATCGACACAATAAAGCTCGCGGAGAGTTGCTTCCCCTAGTCACATAAAAAAGGGAGGCGCAAAGTCTACCCCATACATTAATAGGATGGGGACACTCTTTTAGATATCACAAACTTTAGGTGCTGAACACCAATGCCTAGCATGACGGAGTGAAACTATGAACGACAATGAACAGAAGAGGCTGTAGATATGAGAGCATTTGCCTTGCTATTTGCGCACAGTCTTCCATACTCAAAGAAAACTCCATGCTTATGAGAATATCTGTGAAGCTTTCCATTCTGAAACATGCCATACTAACCAACCTAATCTTCAACTTTAGCCACGAAGCTGCACAGTGCTTTATTGTTAATTTGACTCCGTAGAAGCTGGAACAAATTTTTAAAGGTTGATAGGTACTACTTATAAACTTGTGTAAGACTTGTGAAAAATAAAAATTTTACGTAACAAAACCATGCAACAAGAGACCCTGCCTCAGAATTTCGATGCAGCAGTGCTCTATTCAACCAAACATAGATGAATAACAAAAAAGTTTGTGCATCAATCAGCTTGTGCTACTCAACTGGTCTGGTGGGAAACTCAACACAAACACGAGCTTTACCACATTTATTATGAATTCACTATTACATGGCATAGCTCAGATGACACGCTAACATTCAGCAGGAGCAGAAATTAAAAAAAAAAACATTTCAAAGAACAGATTCATGTGGACACACATTACTGGAAGCAAGAAAACACTTAACTGCGGTTTGGCATCACAGCTCCCTGAAGCAGCAGGACTATGCAAGTGCCACACCGGCAGCTCACATCAATGTATAAAATTCCTTGCAGTGAAAAGTGCAAACCTTCAAGTTCTCTCTCGAAGAAGTCTACACAAGGTTTTTATGTACATGCCCCTCACTAATTCTGCATATAGAAAATCAGTTTGGCAGTAGCCTTTATTGTATGATTATATATATAAATATGTGTGTGTATGTTTGTGTATGAAAGAGGAAAACAATATGTCACATACATCTTCAAATTTGTTCAGACTAGAATGTTTCATAGTTGTACTTGCATCACAGCTTTTAACAAGTCATCACTTGCATTACAGTTGGAGATGTGTTATTCTTGCTCAAAGAGAAAAAATTGTAAAAATGAACTTGGTTAGTGACCCCACAGCTTCTGGTGCTCAACAGTGAACTAGATTAAGCAAATTTCGGCTTGCTCCAAACAAGCAGTATGGCTGCATCACATGCACCTATTATGCTAAAAAAAAACACCATTGCCTAGCTATACATACTGATCTAGAGCTATAAATAATAGTATCAAGCTAAGAGTTGACAGATGGACTTTCTATGAAACTTGCAAGGAACAGAACGTACATAAACTCCTACAGCTATAGTTTTGCAGGGAGTGCCAATAACGCGTATGTATTCAACCTTGCCAAGTATGACTGCACATTCTCATTTATTTCAAGACAAATGCACTGGCTCTGCGGTGAAATATCACCCAACAGACTGACAGAACAAGGCTGAAATTGGAGAATAAATATAAAAATTGTAATCGTGTAAGAATCGTCCTTTTTTATGTGCACTTGATGAGAAGCAGAACTTCCAGGTCCTTAAGAGTGCATGCAAACTCAAGCATGGAAATAGCATTTGAAGTTGTCTGCCACGTGAATACGACAATTCTCCTTCACTTTGTTGTAAAGACTGGAGCAACATCGCTAAGAAGGCAGTGAAGGTAAGAGAAGAAGGGAGCACAATACAAAACTGTCATAACATCTAGTTTGCTACCCTGTACAAGTGTTTGACTTACTATCGCGTCCTTGAGCAGTTTATACAGAACCGCTACGATTCCTTGGTACAACCTTCACAGTGCCAATACTATGTACATTATGCTTTGTTCTTGAATGTGGTTGGCACACAAATATGTGCTGTTTTACGTTGCTTGTATAACATGGTGAGATTGTGGCCAGCACTAGCACATTTTCATCATAACATATACTGTTTTTACAAATTACAAAGTACAAGGACAGCTTCTTGTTTATATGAAGGAGACTGAGATATAAAGCAACTCCTAAAGATAAATGGTTCTTAACAGTTTACATAATGATGTTCCCAGGAAGACAAGACACCGAATTTTCGCAGTGTAAACACCGAAGCCTGTGTCGTCTAACAACCGCTGTTGTCATAGCTATTGCTACTTTTATTACATAAGCTTGAAAATAAATGTGTCGTGATGTCAAGATGTACACCGATCTAACAATATGCAAGAGTTTAAAAAGACTGGCAGAGGTGTACAAATGTAGCACATGAGCCCAATGCTCTAAAGTCACCCCTTGAACTGCAACAAAGGGACAAAGCACGTGTTCATCTGCAAAGTGAGTGTGCTTAGTTACAAGTGCTCTGTGCAATAACATGTTTGTTTTGGCTTTTCATTGAAGTGCTCAGTGAGAAGATTCTTTGACAGTGCATTGTACATGCAGATTGCTTTGATGGAGTGGGTATTCAGTCGGATCGGCAATAGCACTATCACTGCAACCCAGTTCCTGAGTGAGTGCCACAGCGACAGCTAAGTTGAGTGATATGGTTGTAGCCACACATGCGGAGGAGGTGCAAGGATTTCTGCAACTGAAATCGCTGAACCACGTATACCTTTCTTTTCTACTGTCAAGGCAACTTGTATGCCTTACAAAACCACAATGTTTTTGGGGCTGCATCAAGAAACCAATACATTGGAGTAAGTCATAGAAATATTGGCTGGCCAAGTAGTACAAAAATTCTTTGAACTTATTATGCTGCAGGTGGCAACACAGCAGCAAATAAAATGTCCCTCTGCGCAATGAAATGAGCAAAGCTAAAAACAACATCTCATCAATAATAAAAATAGATAGGCCTTGATCTATGTATTTATATTATATAAATTGTTTCACAATAACAGAAATGGCATAAGCAAGAATGTGCTTTTGGCATGCAAGGTGAACTTTCTTTCTCAGCAGGTCTACGCAGCAATCACTGTTTTGGTTTGGTAAAAGCCAGTGCCACTAATCTGACAACATATGAACAAAACTGGTGGGGAAAACACCCCGGCGCTCGGGATCGCCCTCAATCATTCCTTCCATCCACTGGTCATCTTCGGTGATCTCGCTGATGATGACTATGATTTCGCCTTCGCTGAACGACAGCTCATCTTGCTGGTCGGCGCAACAATCGTACAGTGCACGACACCGGCGTCTCACTTTTGTGCTGTGGCACTGCGCAGTTGCAAATTAAGCTCTGTAAGCACAGTGAAGGCATTCGTATGATAATGCTCCTTCACAGCAGAAATACACAGCACTGTCTCATTCTGAGCATGCCTATGTTATGTGAACAGCTTCAATTGCAGTGTCATTTGAGACTTCTCACCAGAATGTTGCTATTCTCAAGTTGCACAAATGACACAACAAAAAGTTATAATTTATTTTCCACCAGTTGCACCAAGTAAATGCAAGGTGCGAGAGTGTATTCCTTCCCAATTCTGTCACCAGTATGCTGGCCATAATAAAAAAAAAGCAGTGCAGAAAAATAAGCAATGCTAAGAACCACTTTTGCAACTTTTCTAAGATACAAACAACATCTTTTTTCGAGTAGTTGTTGCTTCCTCAGCTACATTTTCTTATCCTCAGAGTAACGACGTTGTCCACGAGTGAACTTGCACAGACAGTGGACTCAAGTACACAAAATAATTTTTTTTCACAGGCAATTCCCATAATTTAAGTCATGCCAGCTAACTCATGTCCACTTGAAACAGCGTTGTGGAAAAGTAGCCTTTGTAATCACAAATTTGCTCACAATGTGAGAATATATTTATGCCCAGGACACTCGACACTAAGATCCAATTGGTGTGCATCGTGCTACACATGGGGATGGAAAAAAAAAAAAACTAGGAGTTGCATGACAATCTTGAAACCCCCAGCCTTCAAGGTGGCCTGAGACACTATTTGAGCATGTATTCTTCATCGGTTTTTCTTTTCTGGTGCTGTGGAACGCACCGGTATCTTTGCGCAAATGGCAATGCCAAAATCGATGTCATTATAAATTTAATCTACGGGACAAACTACCTTGATTTCAGACTACAACGACACACATTCGCTCTTTTTGTAATGAGAAGTGACATCATGTCATGTGACGTGACGACCAACACCGTTCGCTTTTGATAGGCTTGATGCATGAAATAGGGTGCAATATTCATATGGTGGCAGCTAGGCCATACGAGTGAATGCCAAAAACAGTGAAAACTCTTTTTACACTTTCTCACAAAGAAATCAATCCTGTTTCTCAATTATGCATATACAGGACAACGAACACAACACTTAGCCTGCGAGTGAGGCTATGGTACGCCAGCAACTAAAAGTGGAAACGCATGATGCGTTTTAAGCGAGACTTAAATGCGACAGGCAGTGGATGCTGGTATTGCCATAGAACGCGTCTTGCATACAAGCGGAGAAGTGACCCCACCCAAAACTATGTGTTTATCTTACACAGTGTGACCGCAGGAGCGTCTGCTACCTGACACATGTGGTTTGTAGTAAGCATGCTAATGAAGCCATCAAAAAAAGCGCTAGCGAGGTATTGTGTGAAAGCCACCCCGAGGAGACTTTTCCGGTATGTCTTTACGAGACACGTTCTGTGATTGGAAGCGATCTTTGACATCAGCAGGCAAGTGAAATGTGAAAGAAAATGTTTCTCGAAGTTGTCTGCTCCAGTTTTGAACTTTGAGGACTCATAGCTTTATTTTCTGTGCATCAATATCCATCATTCTTGTTGCATTCGTCTCAGTAATCATCGCTACACAAGCTCCAGTGCTAAGTAAAGCTGTCCCAAAGGTTTCGCAGGACCCCTTTAAGGAAATAGGCACAGTAGTGGGTGACCAGCTTTAAACTACGAAGCCATTATAATAATCACATGTTCTGACGTCTGCTAGCAATGAACACTTGTAGCACGCATTATTACTGCAATATTTCCAGTTGCATTGTGAAGCATGTATACAGGACGCGTGCGTTTGTAAAGCACGAAAGCTACCTTCACTGCATTTTCAAGCAGAGGAAGTTCTTTTCCCTGCAATCACAAGTAGACGTGTTGCCACGTGAAAGAACATTTGCTTGCCATGCAAACGACTCGGGTTCAATCCCCACTCAGACCCAAACGACTCAGATACAGCCACTTTGACCAAGAATTTCTTTATCATTTATTTTATTTACATCATTCTCAATTTTTCGGTTATGCATAAAATGACAATTTTTCGCTCACAACCAATGAGGCTGATGCAGGAATTTATGCGAAACGCTACCACATTAGAAGCTAAGTTCGATGTAAAGTCTTGCTAAAAATAATCTATGATTATTTCTGCAAGACTAGCTTTTCTGCAATGCTCTCAAGAACTGCAGTGAAGCCATTTTGGCACATCGGAATTTGATTGTTTGGTAGACATCCTAAATAAACTTGTTCAATGAAATGTACTCGTGCTTTTCATTTCTTTCTTTTGCCATACAATTTTAGGGGAGTTTACCTACATTTAAGTCAACTTACAATCCAAAAAATATGGTAACTTTCTGACAGGACCAATAGCAACATTTTTCCACGAAATAGAACAGGAACCTATTGGTGCAACAAGTAAATCTAGCATCCTGTATAATGATTCTCCTAAAAAAGGTTTTATTTTTACCAGCTCTTTTATTATTTTGCATGTTTCAATAGCCTCTGAAGTAGAAAAGAGCACCAACAATTTTTTCTAGCCTACAAAAAAAACGGGGCGGGTGATGGAAAGGGATCTATCTAATGCAGTGTCAGCTTTGGATAAAACTTACCACCTGATTAATTTGTGCGTAACAAAGCCTAGTCAGCCAAATTTTTTCAAACTATTTACCCTCGATGATTGGTTTTTCAGTGTTGCTAGATACTTTGGATGCCTCTGAGGCAATTGGCTGTAAAGTGGTTTTAGGCAGTTGAGAATGTATAAAATACTGGACCCTGAAAGCATTAACATTAAGAATATTTGGGATTTTTCCCTACGATGGCATTCACTGAAGCAGTCATGGATGCCTAGAGTGGGCTGACATGCTGGCAGTTGCTGCAACCACAGTTTATGCAATCGACAAGTACTGCAGATAGGGCGAGTTGGTGCATGATGAAATCGCTCCAATCAGCAACACTTGTCGATGTCCTTTCTAGCTCAACGGGCTCATTTTCAGCGTATCATCAAGACCATTACGCCATCATGTCGCTCATTGCCGCTTTAGTTTGCAAAGCTCGTTCACCGGCTTCCGTGTTCGTTGAAAAATTGTTACGTATGAAGTGGGGATGCTCTATTGTGGTTTTGTACCTTCAGCGAGGCACATCACGAGGGTTCGCAAGATCCTGAAATTTTTTCCGTACATCGTAAAAATTCATAAAGTTTATGTTCCTATAAGGGTAATTGTGTTGGAATACTCCTGGCAGAAGCCATTAGCACTGTTTTTACAAGCCAAGCTGAAGTGTTTGTCAATCAAAGAACCCTTTCTTATAAGAAACTCTGATGAAATAATCAATTTTTTAGGAACTAACGCTCACAAAGGTTACCAGGCCTTTTCAATTGTCATCAAGGATCTTTTTCACTCGATTCATTACAAAGACCTGCTAAAAGTAGTGAAACAGTCAATTATGGGTATGGTTCCATCAGGTTCCAAAATGACGCCTTGATATATAGCAGCAATTTTTTGAAGTTTTTACATTTTTATCACGTGTCGACTTTCATTAAACAGGATGATGCTGTTTATCTACAGTACACAGGCATATGCTTAGATTTGTGCATTGCACCCATACTCTGCTATCTTTTTCTCGCCTGACTTGATGTTATTCTGTACAATAAGCTTGCTCAGACGAGAGTGCACAAAACTTTTCCTTATGTCGATAATTTCTTTTTTTCCATTTAGTGTGCCTCAATTGATGTTGAACGTCAGGTAGCAGACATTCTGCCAGTCATTAAGAAGTGTCTAGGGCCACTTGACCTCACGTGTGAAATACCGCAAGAAGGCACAATCCACTTTCTCAACCTTCATCTGTTCTGTTCATTAAAACATACTTGCTGGTGCTATGAATTACGGTCGGAAAAGCCTCTCCTGCAGTACAATTCAATGCATTCGAAGCTATTTAAACAAGGAATCGCCAAGCTGTGCTTTAAGAATGCCCTAATGAAGTCATTCCATCAAGTTATAGCTGATAGTTTTGCAGGACAAAGCAAACGCTTATCCATGGCAGACAAGTGCAGGTCTCAGTGGATGAGTGCTTGTTGCATAGTTTACGTAGGTGGCCGCAGGACAAGGGTGAGCCCAATGCAAGAAAAACCAGTGTCATACCGTATGTGCATAAGATAGCCCTGAGAGAAAATGTTGTCAGCTCCAGAAAAACTAAAGTCGACTATGCAAGCTTACAAATTCTGAGAAGGAGTCGCAACCCACCTGTGGGGAGAAGCATGTGACTAGGTTTGTTGAATGTTCTTTTGCTGTCATGTATATGTTGTCATGCGACGTGGAATACATAAGACAGACTGGTAGGTGTGTCAATGACTGACTGCGCGAGCACTGTAACTATGTGAAACACAAGGTTTCTTTGGTAGTTTTCTGGTTATGCAATGAAAGACGTGTGCATGCACTCCAATGCTTGACCAATGTATCATTTAGGGCCTCAGCCGTAACAAGTTGACTCGAGAAATTATTGAGACCAACTCTATCACAAAGTGTGTGAAGCTGTGTGTGAGTACGCCATCCGTAGTCTTATCTAAAAAGAGCTCAATTTTCTTGGGTGTGGACAGTGACGTACTGATATAAAATTGTTATTTTGACAATCTGCTTAAAGCTACATTGTTCGTAACGTGTGCTGTGCCACACACTTAGGGTTCTTTCTAATGTGTGCAGTACACGTGTCTGACTAGGTGAGCTATATAATATTGTTATGCACAAGGAGGACCAGGACGTATACGGCTGAAAGGGGCCGTTTATTTTGGTCGCGAAGAGAAGCGCCGGAGCAGGCAACAGATTGATGATCGCAGTGTCGTCGTCTTCTTTCTTCCTCCAGCTTGGGGCAGCCAGCATGTTCACCCATCTTCGTTGTCTTCCCAGGCATGCGTAACGTTCCTCCCCTCGCAGACGAAGGCCGCCGGGCGAGGTAACTGATTGACCTTGGTGTGTACAACTTCAGTCGAGCGACATGGACTGCTTGGGTTTTAGCTGCTCTTCTA